CATAAACACAAAACTCCCTGGGCGATGTTTGAAGTGTAGAGATGGGAGTATCTCTGAGCCCTTTTATTACTTTCCATGGGACAGAAACTCTGGCCCCATTGTGGATCCCATCACTCTGCTACATCAGTGGGGACATCGAGGAGAGGGGCAGCCTTCTTTTTCAGAAATATAAAAAGCAAATAAGCAGAATCACTAAACAAAGAGGGAGGCACAGGTAGGACCTTTGCCAAAGTCACGTGTTCCTCCTTGACATAGATCTAACCTGCGTCTTGGAAAGCGACTCAGATGTGAGTAAACCCAGCCAGAGAAGAAGAAACCATCTCCACTGTCAGCTCGTGGTACCCATTTCTACTGCAAATAGAAATGGTCACGTGGTGATGAAGCGAAACTCAGGCCCCCATCAAAAAGGGTTTTTCTAAGTGTCTTCCATAAAAGGTTCACTGACTTCCCAGGCTGAAGAGGCTAGTGCTCTGTCATTTTTAAATTGGGCTCTAAACATGTTGCTGAGAAGAAAACAGTGCATCCATCTTAGGAGGTTTACAAAAATAGCCAATTACCCAGATTACCTGGGGGAACTTTTCAAAAACCACAAATCTCTGGGCTCCATCCCAAGTCCCTCGGGAAGGATCTCTGGCAGTGGGTTGATGTGAACCCACGGCCAGAGCCTGCACAATGCCTACCCTTCCTTCTAGGCAGAGAGAAACTCTTACAGGAACAAAACCAAAGGGCAGCTCTGTCTGTCAATTCTGTGATGAATTTAGATTCTGTGGGGGAAGAAAAAGGTGAGGCGGAACATTGTGCTAAGGACTAAAATTTGAACATATGTTAAGGAATGTGTATACCATAAAACGATTCATGAATTATACTCAGTAAGCTTATAGTATATAGCATATCAAACAATATTGTTAGATACATTTAGCTTCAAATTCTATGTGTTGCTTTCACAGTGTTTTGTTTGTTTGTTTGTTTGAAGACAGAGTCTCACACTTTGATAGCCTGGCTACAGTGGCATCATCATAGCTCACTGCAACCTCAAACTCCTGGGCCCAAACGATCCTCCTGCCTCAGCCTCCCAAGTAGCTAGGACTACAGGTGCATGCCACCATGCCCAGGTAATTTTTCTATTTTTTTGTAGAGACAGAGTCTCACTCTTGCTCAAGCTGGTCTCGAACTCCTGGCCTCAAGCGATCTTCCTGCCTCAGCCTCCCAAAGTACTGGGATTATAGGTGTGAGCCACTGCGCACAGCAGTATTTTAAAAGTACACTGGTGTCCCATTACGATTCTGTCCTTAAAATTAATACCTGGGGACATGTCAGCTCCCTGTCGAAGAGCAGAAAAACCGAATAGAAGGTAGTATGATCATCTGTTGTTTTTACCCATTAGCCTCTCTTTTTCCATTGGGAAAATGTTCTTTCCTGATCCATGGGATACGCGAGGAAATGTCAGTTATAGGATCTTTCCGGACATCTGGGCACAGGAGTGAGGAAATGACCCAAGCCTTCCCAATTGTGATATTCTGTACTGTGATTGGTCCAAAGATCAAACGGGATCAAACACGATCAAATCCCCACGTAGGTGATTCCCCCTGGGATAGTTCATGTATGGATCCCGGGTGACTGTTTCTCTTCTTTCTGGGGTTTTGACCTGGAAGAACTTTGAAGCCTAGAGCTCCTTAGCATCCTTTTCATTCATTCCCAACTAAGGAGCAACCCTATTCTAGGAGAATGGGCCCAACGTTTCATAAGTATTAATATATTTTCATCTGCCTGGCCACCGTGACCAGCTCCATCAGTGGAACACGCAGGAATTTTCTTTGATGGCTGGGGTATAAGGGAACTCCTTTCTTGTCCTGGACAATATGGTGTGCCAATACGACACCCAAAGCTGCTACAGCCATGTGACTATTGAGAGAAGGCAGCACAAGAATAATGTAGTCAACACATGAAGGACAGGAGCAAAAGAAACACAGACATGGAGAGAGAGCCCTCATCAAACCTCTGCTAGGCAACCTCTAGCTTTTTAAACCATGTAACTATTTCATTATTTAAGCCAGTTTAAATATATTTTCTATTACTTGCAACTCAGAGTACTCAAACTGATACTGGATCGAGTGCAAAGAATGAGAAAATAAACGTCTAAACTATAGCCGTGGCTGAGAGGAGGAGGACCAGCAGAGGGCAGTGTGGAGGCCAGTGTGCCCGCACGGAGGTGGACGATCCTTGCCAAAGGCAAAGTGTAACTGCCCTGCCGTCCACCGCCTTACATTGCACTGCGATTTTCCTCATGGTAAAGAAACTATTTCCTGTACCCATGTCTCTATTAAAAGTAGAAAAACAAAAGATAGAAGGGAGGACAGCTGGCTTCAAGAAAACGGAGAGAAGGATCTCTGGGCCTGCTTTACTCCATTACATCAATGGTCTGATCCCTGCAGGCATTTGAGTTTAGGAATCCCGGGTAGCTGCACAACTGACTCCAGGCGGAGAGCGAGAGTGAGGAGGGGATGGGGAGTTGAACTACACTATTTCTGATGTCCTAGGAGTCTACAACTTAAAAATACAGTCTACTCTGATTATCTTCTCTTGATTTCTTTAGACTACGTTTGGTCATTTAAGTCAACTCAGGAATGTATAAAACTAGGAGGCTATCATAATCTAGAGAGTATCACCATGTCACAGTATTTTCTAATTTATTCATATTTAACCGTTTCAGATCTTTTCATTATTGAACTTACGTGGCTCTATCAAAATAGCTCATGCAACTTTGTATTCTGATATTTTTCCCCTTCAATACAACAACTCTGAACATTTACTGTGTTGCACCCACCAAGAGATGTCAGGACCTTTGTAAGAATGCTTTCAAGTATCACACCGAGAAAGAAAATAACATAAAACCCAGTTCAGATGTATCTGTTACTAGAGAGGTTTTACAAGATGAATGGTATGTGAAAGTGGGACATGAGGAAATGTAGATTTATTTGCGTTTTTATTTGACAGCATAAATTCTAGGACTAGAACACTAGGAAAAGAAAACTTAATTGTGCACTTCCCAAAAAATTAATTTTTCAAGGGTGATATAATCAGCTCTAAGACAATAATACCCAAAAGGTGGAACAATAGACTTCCATGTTACAGTTGTGCCTCTGCAGACACACCATGAGCCAGAATTTATAAAAGCCTATGTTTCCGGAACTTCCGACCTCCTGAACCAGGCCAGCCTCAACGAAGTTTTAAAATGATCACCATCAAAATCAGGTGTTCACAAAATCTTACCAACCAAAAATCCATGTGATTTTATGTAAAAGACATTGAAAGACAGGTGAACACAATCCCGGTTTTATTGATATTTTCTCTTTAGTTGAAAAGGATAAAGAATGGAACAAGGAGTAACAAGGTGAAAGAAAGAAAGAACTTTCCAACCATGACGAGGTAAAGCGATACTTGTTGAGAGCATAAACTAGGAGTTACGCTGCCTGATTTGAATCCATCTCTTTTCACTTATTACCTATGAAGGCTTGGACAAGTTACTTACCTTCTTTATACCTCCATTTTTTCATATGTGTTAAATAAACTAGAGCTGATAATAGTGTCTCATAAAATTGCAAGGATTACATGGGCTCGCCATGTTAAAAACAGAACAGCATCTGCTGTATAAGAGGGTCTCAATAAATATTACTATGTCCCCGGCACCTAAATGTCATCGTTTTGCAAAATGTCTAGTAATATCAAGTTATATTATGGGTTTCCATAGCTTGTTTCTATGAAACTGCTGATCAGTCTTAGAATTAGTTGACTTCTCCTGATAACCTGGAACTTTGTTGGAAGATTCATAACACTGATTCCCTAGGCTATTTCTCTGCAAATATTGTCTAAAGGTCCAGTTCCTAAGAATGTCTAAACAATACCTGAATTTTATAGTTTCAGATATTAGTATATTATTTTTGTTAAATGATTTCACTGTTAGACACTTACTGGCACATGCCATAACACAATGGCTGATGACCACTTTTCTCTTTTGCTTCATAACAAAACTCAATTCTTAAGACAGTATAAGAAGCTGACTTTTGGGGCTTAGGGATTTTCCTGCACAAACAGGATATATGTCAAGGCTAAAAATTGGGTTACTGTGCAAATAGGGGAAAAGTGATGAGCACATTTCTTATTATCCTATTTTTAGTTCCACTGCCTTCCACACTGCTGCCAGAGTTATATCTGAAACACAGATGGGATTCTGTTATTCTACTGCTTAACAGTCTTCCAATGGCTCCTCATTGCCTAGAAAATGTCCAAACTCCTTAACAAGCCCAAGGCTTGAGACAGTCTGGTCCCAGTCTGCCATTGTAAGCTCATCTCTACTCATTCCCTCCTCTATATCCATGCTCTGATTTCTTTTTTTTTTTTTTTAATTGTGAAAACTGTTATATTTCCAAATCTCTGTTCATCTCTCTGTATATATTTTACATCATATATAACATTACTTGTTAATGTTGTTGACCTCACGACACTTCATTGCTACATAACATATTTACACTGAAGAGATTTAACAATATTCTTGTCTCTCTTTTATGCCCCGGTGTTTCATATAAGCCCCCACTTAGGTTTCACACACTGCAATTGGTTGTTTTTCCAGAATGACTTTGGCTCTTTAAAGAGACCAAGTCAGCTGTCTTTCCCTCTGCGGTACTGTCCACATCTCCCTAAAGCCCAAGGGACAAGTCCAGCTGTGCTCATAGTTTACATATTGTCTGCTTTCTTGGTACCCACTGGCAGATGTGAGTACTTGAACCATTTATTCATCTATTGACATTCATTATTTTGAGCAATTACACATTTTCCTCTCCTTACATCACAAAGGAAATCACAAAACTTCATAGAATTAGTAGTCAACTGAATGAGTAGCCTACTCCATTAGTAGTATATTAGTGAGTACTTAGTAGAGATATTATGGTTTTTTTTATTGGATAAGAATATTTTTGACATTGTAAATGTCCTTTGAGTCAAATCAGGACAGGGTACAAAATGAGGCATACGGATGGACTATTGAGTCCAGCTCACCACTGCTCAACTCTTTTTTCTGATATGAACTGTCCATGAGGCCCCTCAGCATCCGGGGGCAAAAGGGCCAAGTACACAGGGGTCTCTGCGCCTTCTTCTGGACTTTTGGTGGCCTTGGGTCCTGCCATGTCGGTTCTAACCCAGCCTGGGCAGCAGGCATTCAGGAGGATTTTGTCTCCTTTCCTCTGCTCACTCAGTTTCCTGGCCTGGATTCTCGACAGGACTGTCACGCCAATCTTTCAAACTCCATATGCGGTGCTGGGCCAGCCCTCTTTCTGGTGCACTTCCTTCTTGTTATCTTCCACAAACCCGTTCATGAGCCCCACCAGCTCCTCCTCCGTGATGTTCTCGCTGCGGAACTTCTCCTGCAGCTCTGGGCTGCAGTTTTTAAGGGCTCTGAGACTCACCGTGCTAGACACATTCACCACTCTGCCTTGGGGTTTTATTAGAGGGAGTAACTCTGTGCAGACATCTTGGGTACCAAAAAAGTTTGTTTTCATGGTCACTTCTGCCTGAATATGGAAGGGCGTGGTATCAGCAACTTTGAAAGCGATGCCCGCGTTGTTGACCAACACGTCGAGCCCCCCGTACTCCCTGCGCAGAAAGTCGCGCAGGACGCGGATGCTCTGCAGGTCGTCGATGTCCAGCTGGTGGAAGCGCGGGCTCAGGCCCTCGGCCTGCAGCTGCTGCACAGCCGCCTGGCCCCGCGCCGCGTCCCGCGCCGTGAGCACCACGTCCCCCGAGAACTGGCGGCACAGGTCGCGCACGATGGCGAAGCCGATGCCCTTGTTGGCGCCGGTCACCAGCGCCACACGGCTGCAGGACGACATGGCTGAGCGGGGTTCGTGGGGCACCTGCACGGAGAAGGGATCAGGCCAAAGCCCTGGAGCTGCGCAGACTATGTGAGAGCCTGCGCTAGCGTGGAGGGTGCCGGGTCCATGCTCTGATTTCTGAATGCATCTTGTGCTTACCTTCTTCTATTCTTTTACTCACGCAGTTCCTAAGATTAGAATACCGTCTCCTTTTCTGGCATATTATCTCCCACCAAACTCAACTGATATGCGTCATGCTTATTTCATCTCTCACTGGCTTCCAGGCAAAATTATTTTTTCCTCCAATCTTATAAAGGCCTCATTTGAAGTAATGTGCTGGAGATACAATGGGAAATCAAAACAGACTTCATCCCTGCCTTTGTGGAGCATACAGTCTAATGAGGAGTCAGATGTTAATTAATTAATATCCCAAATATAAATTAAAATTAGGATAAGAAGAGAAACATGGTGATATGCAATAATTTAGGAATTTTAAAATGGCTTTCCTAAAAAATCTGAAGAATAGAAGTACTCCAGGTAAAGAGGGGCAGAAAAAATATTCTGATAAAAAGAATATCATGCGCGAAGGCTCTGTGGCAGGAAAGAGCATCACTGTGCAAGGGCTAGAAGACCAAAGAGGCTGGGATGGAAACATTATTGTGGAGCCTGTAGTTGATTGACCCTGGATAATCACACAACAGTGTTTTTTCTCAAACCTTAATCTACTACAATTAATCAGTCCTCCCTGTCATCTAGAGGAAGATAATGTGGGACTTTAAGAAATTCAATATGGAATTGTTAGATTTTCAATATTCTATTTAATATTGAAAACTATCTCCTAAAAACTACTTCCAGCATTCGTAAATGAAAGGTTTCCATTTTATTCTTTGCAGTTCTCTACATATTGCTCCTAACAGGCTGTTCATCAGTTACAAAAGCTGTGCCCAGCACCAAGAGTTGTCACTTCAGAAAATAAGGTAACAGCTTGTTTTTACTGGCAGGAATAAGCCAACACCCTTCTGTTGACTTCCACTGCAAGCACAACCTCCCGCCCCACTCCCCAGTATATCCTGCCGAGGGCAAATAAGCTAATTGTTGAGGAAATCAACAGCCCCAGGTTTATTCCAGGTTACATTCTTCACAAGATTTCCAGTGTCATTGATCTCAGAAAATTGAGTATATTGTTCTGAAAGTAAATTCTTGCAAAAATTCCTCAAGAGATTCATTTGCTGGAGCCTTTTCATAGTGAAAATAAGGGAGATATTTGATCTTCAGGGTTCATTACAAAAACAAGATATTTTTCCTGGGCGATGGATTCTCTGTGGTTTTTTAAAAAAAAGATAATTTTATATTTGGTTCTATGTATGTTATAACTACAGTTAGAACATGCAATGATTTCACATTTATTCCACTTATTTAACAGATATTTATTAAGCACTTACCTAATTAGGGTTCATCACTATGACAATTATGGTCACAAATATTGATGATTTATGTATTTTATTTCCTTGACTCAGAAAACTGAAGTATAATGGAAAACAAAGTAACACCTATAAGACTTGCATGTCTGTTTCATCCGCTTGATCTTCATATGTAGAAATATCTGATATTAATTTCCGCTTTGGGATTGAGGACATTACTATGCCGTAACTAATTATAGTGCCAGTCACAGACATGATAGATGGGGCAGCAGAAATTTTGAAGATGAGTCCAGAGTCAAAGCACTCCATCACTATGATAGAATCGGAACAAAACTTTCCATTCCGTTTATGTGAAGTAGGTTACAGAGTAAAGCAAAAATGTAATCAGGCTCTCTCAATTCTAAAATTAGGATTTTTGTGTTTTCACTAAATGCCTTTGTTGGAGTTTATTAACTACTCAGAACAAGAAGTCCCACAGTGACGGGGAGAAGATGGAGCCACAGCAGACAGGTCTGTGCCCTGCTTATTACTATAAAAGGAGCCATCACCTGTTTACCCACAGGCAGACTATCCCCAACTAGACATCCAAGTTCATTGTTACAGTGTTCTCTACTAAGTTCAACTTCAGGTTCTCTCTGTTCTTTTTAAAGGGAACCTTAGATGACTGTTTCCTGGATACTAAGACTCCAACTTGCTTTGCAGGAGTTCATACTTCTGTCTCCATCTGTCAGGTCTTTGAGTCCTCATAATATCAACACTCGACCTGGAATTTACGATTGTGGGGATGCTGAATTTCCTCCAAACAGAAATAGGAGAGATGGCAATATCCTTTTCCCCCATTAAATCACGGTTTCACAAATATTTTTCTTTGTGATTTTGGAGAACGTAAACTCAATATTTTATTTTCAACCAAGGGTCACCCTGCTTCTTGTGTTTGTGTGTGTATTTAGATTGACTTTATGAAAATAGTGCATTTGCAGCAGGATGACCTCTTTAAAGTAAGATTCTTAAGAATTTTGAAATTCTTATGGGTGGAAGCTGTAAAGAAACTGAAAACTGACATTTAAAACCTGCAAAAATACTCCATCTTGCAAGATACAGTAACTTCAGTTCTCTTCTAGACTTGCTATTTCTTTGTTCTTGATTATGAGTAAATGGGTACCCTTAGCTACAAGAATAAAAAGCAAATATTAATCCATCATCTTTGAGGACAACTCTGAAGCCCCATAAGCCCTTACACTGGTGTTATGAATGAGAAACTCTCAGCTCATTGTGCAGATATAAACTGGATGGAGTCCCCGCAGACACTGTTGCCTTTTTGTTGGGCAGCCAGTCAGGCAGAGAAAAATGTTTCTTTTTTCCTTTGGAACCTACTGTGTACTCTGCTTAAAAATTGTCCCTGGTTCGTGTGAAGAAACCACATTCTTGTTTGAGCAGAAACTCTTAGACAAGATGAGAAGCTGAAACCAAACAACCTGGGAAAAGTACATGCATAGGCTCCTTCAAATCAAATTGGAAGACCCAGAAGAAACTGGACAAAACCTGGCTTTCAAGTAGGAACATGCTGCTAATGTTAGCCTTGTGCTACTTCATATGCAACAACTCAGACTTTGAAGCCAGACTATGCTGATTTTAGACCATTAGGTTCTAAAGCGATTAATTTATTGAGGTGAGAGTATAAAGTCACACCTGCACCCAGCGAGTAGGGTTGGGACTTTTTGATGGCAGTGGATATCCCACTGTCAACTACCTGAGAAGAGGCAGTTCCAGGAACAGGGGAAGAACCCCTTAGACTTTGGTGAGGGCAGAAACTTTTAATTTATTTTTTTTGTCCCACAGCTATTTGTAATAAGCCTACAAGTAAACAAATTCTGTTGCTTTCCTGGTAATGAGGACCAATCTATTGTCAGCTGCATGGAAATTGACCAGGGAGCAGCCCTACCAGTACAGCTAAGCGTGGTAGTCTTGACATGATTTCCTGGGAGGAGGAGTCTGGATCTGTGGATTCTGAAAGTCACCCTACCCAGTAGCAATTGTACATTTTTTGGTGCTAAGCTTCTATTAGATTCTGTCCAAACTTACAGTAAAATAACAGTAAATACAATAAAATAGTAACTAAAATTAAAAACTCACTAGAAGGGCTCAGTAGCACATTCGAATTGGCAGAAGAAAGAACTGATAACAGGATAATTAAGATTATGCAGTCTGAAGAACATAAAAGAAGAAGGATAAAGAAAAATGTATAGAGCATCGGAGATCTGTGGGACCCCATCAAATGTGCTAATATTATATGCATAATGGCTGCCCAGAGGAGAAAGGAGGAAGAGGCACAAAGAATATATGAAGAAATAGTGGTTGAAACTTCTCAAATTGGTTGAAAACTATTAATCTTCACATCCAAGAAGCTTAACAGCTCCCAAGTAGAATAAACTCAATAAGAACCACACCTAGACACATAATACTGTCAAATTAAACTAAATTTGGCTTGAGGCTGCCTCCATACCACGAGTCCCTACATAAGAAACCACATCCTAACTTAGTACTTAAACAAACTGAAACCCTAACTTAGGAGTATATTTTTTGTAACAACAACTATCTGAGTCTTAGCCAATAACAGCAGCCAAGCTTTAGCCAATCACAGACCACCTAAGGCTCAAACCATGTTCATATAAGACAAATGCCGAGCTCTAACTAGTCAAGCTGTTTCTATACTTCTCTTTCCTATCGATAAATACTCCCTGCTTACATGGCAGAGTAGAGCTCTCTGAACCTCTTCTGGTTCTCATCAGCTGCCTGGTTCAGGAACCATTCCTTGCTTAATTAAATTCGTTTAATTTTTGTCTAAAGTTTTTCTTCCAACAATACTTAAAATTGTCAAAAGACCAAAAGAGAATGTTGAAAGCAGCAAGAGAAAAGTAACTTATGATACACAAGGGATTCTCAATAAGATTGACAGCTGATTTTTAATCAAAAATCATTGAGGCCAGAAGGCAGTGGGGTGACATAGTCAAAGTGCTGAAAGAAAAAAAAAATCTGTCAACTGAGAATTTATAGCCAACAAAACTATTCTTCAAAAATGAAGGATAAATTAATACATTCTCAGATTAAAACAAAAAAAAACTGAGTGATTGACAGTTAATTCATGACCAACACCAACCCATCTTAGATTCCTTATACCTTGTGGCCTAATGAGGACTTTATGTTTTCATTATTGCTTTTCTTTTCTTAGACATGAAACACTTGGTTCTTACTTTTTATTCCAACTAAACTAAAAATGAGACTATCTCTGAATTTTTATAGAATGTATTTTATACATCAGTGGGAATTGATAAACACTTATTAAATTTAATGTAAACAAACAGATTTAAAAGTACACCTTCTCCTATTTTGAATTGAAATGTGGATGCAATTCTGCCTCTCTGAGTCTAAGCATGTGTCTATAATATAATTCATGTTCTTCCCATAAATTTATTTACATATCCAGCAGGTAAGAATTAAATAAGGTCACTAGAAAGGTGAAAATAAGTCACTAAATATAAATATTTTCCAAAATTCACATCAAACTTTCAGTAATTCCTATAGTTGGTTAGGCACTTGAAAAATGTTCATTATTTGATACTCAGAGCTATTTGATAGCTCTGAGTATAGGTTTTGCTTATTTTTAGCAAAGATACTAAAAAAAAAAG